CTGGAGAAAACCACTTTAAACTTTATATGGAACCAAAAGAGGGTCCACATAGCCAAGGCAATCCTAAGCAAAAAGAACAAAGGTGGAGGCATCACACTATCTGATTTCAAACCATACTACAAGTCAACAGGTAATCAAAACAGCATGGTACTGATACCAAAACAGAGATATAGACCAATGGAACAGAACAGAGGCCTTGGAAGTAATGCCATACACCTACCTATCCAGTAGTCATTCAGGTGCAGTTTGTTCAGTTTCCATGCAGTTGTGCGGTTTTGAGGGAGTTTTTAAATCCTAAGTTCTAATTTTTTTATAAGTCCCACTTGATGAGGCAGCTTGTCCCTTATCAGAGCTGAAGTGCTGGACTGGGGGCTCCACTGCTCCCTTTAGAGCAGTGGAGTTCTAATTTGATTGCACTGTGGTCTGAGAGACTGTTAGGATTTCCATTCTTTTGCATTTCCTGATGAGTGATTTACCTCCAATTATGTGATCAGTTTTAGAGTATGTGCAATGTGGTGCTGAAAAGAATATATATTCTGTGGATTTGGGGTGGAGTGTTCTGTAAATGTCTATTAGGTCCCCTTGGTCTAGATCTGCGTTCAAATCCTGGATAACCTTGTTGATTTTCTGTCTCATTGATCTGTCCAATATTGTCAGTGGAGTGATAAAGTATCCCACTATTACTGTGTAGGAGTCTACCTCTCTTTGTAGGTCATTAAGAACTTGCTTTATGTATCTGGATGCTCCTGTGTTGGGTGCATATATATTCAGGATAGTTATCTCTTCTTGTTGCATTGATTCTTTTACCACTATGTAATGCTCTTCTTTGCCTCTTTTGATCTCTGTTGGTTTAAAGTTCATTTTATCAGAAACTAGGATTGCTACAGCTTTTTTTCTTTTTCCTCTCCATTTGCTTGGTAAATCTTCTTCCATCCCTTTATTTTGAGTTTGTGTATGTCTTTTCATGAGAGATGGGTCTCCTGAATACAGCACACCATTGGGTCTTGATTTTTTAATCAAATTTGCCAGTCTGTGTCTTTTGATTGGGGCATTTAGGCCATTTACATTCAATGTTAATATTGTTATGTTTGAATTTGATCCTGTCATTTTGTTACTGGCTGGTTATTTTGCCCATTAGTTGAAGTGGTTTCTTCACTTGCTTTGTTGTTCTTTATCATTTGCTACGTTTTTGCAGTGTCCATGTTCCTTTCCATGTTTAGTACTTCCTTCTAGAGCTCTTGTAAGGCAGGTCTTGGAGTGATGAAATCTCTCAGCAAGCAATTGCTTGTTCATAAAGGATTTTATTTCTCTTTCACTTATGAAGATTAGTTTGGCCAGATAGGAAAATCTGGGTTGAAAGTTCTTTTCTTTGAGGATGTTTAATATTGGCCCACACTCCCTTCTAGCTTGTAGGGTTTCTGCTGAGAGATCTGCTGTGAGTCTGATGGTCTTTCCTTTGTGGATGACTCAACGTTTCTCTCTGGCTGCCCTTAGGATTTTTTCCTTCGTTTCAACCCTGGTAAATCTAATGATTATGCACCTTGGGGTTGCTCTTCTTGAGGAATATCTTTGTGGTGTTCTCTATATTTCCTGGATTTGAATGTTGGCCTGCCTTGTTAGATTGGGGAATTCCCTGAATAATATCCTGAAGAGTGTTTTCCAACTTGGATTCATTCTCCCTGTCATATTCAGGTATGCCGATCAAGCGTAGATTAGGTCTTTGCACATAATCCCATATTTCTTAGAGGCTTTGTTTATTTTCATTCTTTTTTCTCTAATCTTGTCTTTTCATTTTATTTCATTGATTTGATCTTCCATCTCTGATATCCTTTCTTCTACTTGATCGATTTGGCTGTTGAAACTTGTGTATGCCTCGTTAAGTTCTCGTGCTGATTTTCAGATCCATTAAGTCGCTTATGTTCTTTTCTAAGCTGGTTATTCTAGTTAACATTTCATCTAACCTTCTTTCAACGTTCTTAGTTTTTTTGCATTGGGTTAAAACATTCTTTTAACTCAGAGAAGTTTGTTATTGTCCATCTTCTGAAGCCTGCTTCTGTCAATTTGTCAAACTCATTTTCTGTCTTGTTTTGTTTCCTTGATGGTGAGGAGTTGTGATCCCTGGAAGGGGAAGAAGGTGTCTGGTCTTTGATGGTTTCATCCTTTTTGCACTGGTTTCTTCCCATCTTTGTGGATTTATCTCCCTTTGATCTTTGAAATTGGTGATTTCGGGAGGAATCTGAGTGGACATCCTGTCTGTTGCGATTGGAGCTATATCTTTTTTGGCCTGTAGAGGGCGTTGCTGGGCTCTCTCGGATTCAGTCAGGTTGCTGAGTGGGTGGTCCTTCCCTGGAGTTTGGTTGCCGGTGAGATTGGCTCCCCCTTCCCAATGGTGTCTCTCCTTCCCTAAGCTTGATCTTCCCGGTTGGGGTCAAACTGGTGTATTTGCTGCCAAACTCTCTAAGTGCAGGCATCAGTTTGAGTTTTGTAGGGGCGGGGCCTGCCAGGCCTTTTGGCCTGTTTCCCTGCTTTCAACTCTGCCTCTTTCTGCGGGACCCGCTGTTCTGTCCCACTGGCATTGGTCCAAACTTCCACCCAGGTCCATGCCGACAACTTGTGGCACCAGGCGGGGGCCTTTGCTCAGATTTGCATCCACACCCCACTGTGCCCCTCAGTCTGGCAGGGCTCTTGTGGACCGTGGGTTGCAGGAGGGATGAGGTAAGCACAGGATCCAAATCAGTATGGAAGGGAAGTCCCTGACCCTCTGCCCTCTGAGCTGGCTGCGGGTTCCAGGTGGGGACGTGCCCCACCCTGTCTCGGTTTGCCCTCCCTGGGCAGCTTTTGCCCTGCTTAGGCTCCTTCCCTGGGCTATTTTCAGAGTCCTACCAGTTCCACCGAAACGAACCCAACAACTCTCTTGGAATTGTGAAGTCCTCTAGCCCTCTGCATCTCATTCACTGGGAGCTGCATTCCAGTGTTGCCTCCTCTCAGCCATCTTGGCGTGCCTCCTGGGTATTAGAAAGTCTTGTTGTGATGTGCACTGCCCTCCAAACACTGAGCTTAAGGAAGCTGTTCATGATGGTTAACATTAGGTGTCAACTTGATTGCATTGAGCGATGCCTAGATAGCTCACAAAGTATTGTTTCTGGGTGTGTCTGTGATGCTGTTGCTAGAAGAGATTAATTTGAGTCAGTGGATGGCGAGAGGAAGACCCACCCTCAAGCTGGGTGGATACCAATGAGGCTAGAACAAAGTAGACGGGAGGTGAGGTAAGCTGGCTTGCTGAGTCTTCTGGCTTTCATGTTTCTTCTGTGCTGGATGCTTCCTGCCCTTGGACATCAGACTTCAGTTTCTTTGGCCTTAGGACTCTTGGACTTACAACAGTGGTTGGCCAGGGGCTTTCAGGCCTTTGGCCACAGACTGAAGGCTGCACTGTTGGCTTGCCTGCTTTTGAGGCTTTTGGCTTGAACTGAGCCACTACAGGCTTCCTTGTTCCTCAGCTTACAGACGACCTGTTGTGGAGCTTGGTCTTGTGATCATGTGAGCTGATTCTCCTTAATAAACTCCCTTTCATATATACATCTATCCTATTAGGTCTGTCCCTCTGGAGAACCCTAATACAGTGTTAGAAAACCAAAAGGTGAACATGTTTAATTTGGGGGCTTTTAGGCAACAGCACATCCCATGATTAAAAAAAGGATAGCTTGTATATTTGTGATAAACTCAAACTACACTGATAAACACTGCAGAACACATTAGTTGATTATTTTTTGAGAACAGATGTCCCTTGTTAAACCAGCTTGTTGATTTTAATATAGCTATAAAAAGGATCTTTATTTAGAAAAGATTTCTAAGACATTTTATGGAAAGTAATTGTAAAACTTCTTGGCTCTTTCATTCTTAAATACTCCCTTGAAACAAATTTTGTTGTTGTTTGTCTGCTATATTATTTCATGAAGAGGAAAAGAAAAATACAATTAGCCTAATTCAAAAATAATTAACCTAACAGCGAATATTGGCCAGGACTCACCACACTCAAGGCTCTCTCCCAAGCATTTCACATGGAGCCACATTTCATCCTTCTAACAACCAGCGAGGGAAGGACCATTCGCTCCGTTTTCAGAGAAGGAGCTTGACGCACACAGAAGTTAGCTTGTCCATGGTCACATAGCAAGTAAAGGGCAGGGCAAAGCCAGGATGCAAAGCCATGCAAGGCCACCTGACTCCAAAGCTCCCGGGTAGAAGCCAGTGGGCTGCCCTGGCACAGCAGCAGGGCCTTCCTGGAACCAGACAGCAGTGGGGAGGCTGCTGTGCCGCACCTCGCCTCTCGCCTCCACCTCCTGCCCTGGGCTTTTCAGCAGCCCTGAGCACCACTTCTTCAGAGGGACCGTCCGTGGACAGCGGACAGGCTTAAGTTCATTTTTTACATCAATGTTTTCGGTGTTAAAACTTCCCAAATAAGGCCAGGTATGGTGGCTCATGCCTGTAATTTCAATACTTTAGGAGGCTGAGGTGGGAGGATTGCTGGAGGCCAGATGTTTGAGACCAGTCTGGGCAACATAGTGAGACCCTGTCTCTATATAAAATTAAAAAGAAAAAAAAAAAAAAAAAAGGTGGGCATGGTTGTGTGTACTTGTAGTCCCAGCTACTTGGGAGGCTGAGGCAGGAGGATTGCTTGAGTTCAGGAGTTTGAGGCTGCAGTGAGTTCTGATTGTGCCACTACAGTCTAACCTGAGCATAGAGTGAGACCTTATTTCTAAAAAATAGACTTCCTGAGTGAAAACATCTAATATTATGTTGCTATGCAATACTGACCAGAGCCTAACTATGGAAAATAAAATCTTAAGGTCATGAAAGACATATGTCTTTCAAGTATCCATATTAGTAAAATTCATTACTCAATTCAATTACACTGGATTTTTCCCCTTGTCATATGCTTAGAAAAGAAGAAAAATGCACCTCCGTTCAAAAACTTGTAAGAATTCAAAGAAATTTTTAAAAACTTCAAATTTTAGGATGATTTTTATTTACAAAACAGATTGAGTCTTTTGTTTTACAAAAATTATAAAAAAAATGACTTGACTCTTAAAAATAGAAATAGCTTCTCAGACTCTTGGGAACTACTTTGAAGCAACCGAGCACTTAGAACTCAGATAGTTTTCTTCTTTGTAACAGCAACAATGACCACGGCTGTGTGCTGTGTCAGTTACGGCTGTGTCTCTTCACCTCAAATTACACAGCCCCGAGCTGTCTCTGGCAGAAAGGTCTCCACTCAGGTCAGAGTCTGAAGGAGCAAGATCTTCTCATTAATGCAGAACCTGTGCAGAACCACCATCAGATTCTCTCCACAGCGGGAGACCTGGCGCTCCATGGCCAGGCGAAAGTCCTCCTTCACGCCTTTGGTGATGCCTCGAGTTACCGTGTGGTGCCTGAGGTCAGTGACAGGGAAACAGACAAAGACCAGGGATCAGCACCAGTATCACTGATCACTGCTACCTGGGTAGGAGTAAAACCTGCCCCATATCTAAGTATAAGTTAAGATATTTTTAAAAGAACAAAAGAATAGCTGCCACCAACCAAACGTTCCAGCCCCTTTCTTTTCAGAAAGACTTAAGACTAGTCGGACATCTTGCCCACTCTATAAAAGATTATTCCAAACATGTAATTGTCCAATAAAATGCTACCTGCTTTGCCTTTGAATCCTGGAAGCTCTGTTATGCTTCCCTACTGCTGACTGGCACACAATTCAGTAACTTAGGGCCAAATGGGTCCAGTCCACACTGGCTACAAAGGGCTTGTGTCCAGCCAGGCCAGGAGACCCTCCAGAAATAGCAGCAAGGAGGAAGGAGACCCGAAGGAGCCCATCACGCAAGTGAGCTCCTCCCATGGCCCCTGCAGCTGGTGCTCCCAGAAAAGGTTCAGGGCTCTTGCACAGCTGGGGTCATAAGCACATCTCTTTCCCCAGGACACCAGAATAGGGCAGCTCCTCTAAATGCTGTGCTCATCTAGACTCATGCAGGGGGAGCTGGGGTCCCGAAACAGAACGTGGCACAGGTCAGGAGAGAGGCAGAATCTCTGAGGACCAGAAGCAATGGACTACATGGTCATAGGCTGTCTGGCACTCAGGGGAGACCTGCAAGTGTGTGGAAGGAGTGGTGGGGACACAGGACAGAAAGGTCTCTATGCCTCAAAGGTTGTGCTTTAGAAAAAGAAATCACACATAAAATCCCAGGAAACAGAAGAAACAAAGTGAAGAAAGGAAAAGAAAAATTGAGTAAAACTCAGTCAGTTCAGTTAAGAGGAAGGGAGTTTTTACCTACTAGTTCAGCAATTTGGTGGACTTAGACAAATAAGTCACTCTGTTTCCCACCCTGCTGTCTAATTTCCCTTGCACAAAGTTATAAGGATTGAAACTGAAGATTTTTATGTCCCTGGGCAAGATTAAAAGTGTTGAAATCACTCTAAAATGTTTCTGTTTTAAAAAACTTATATTAATTATCATATAAAGTAAGGACAACAGGAGTCACCAAGTTGTAAAATAACAGAAGGAAAAAAAATCCAGCTTTGTTACATAAGTAAAGCTATTACAGAATCTTCTGATGCTCATGGATGTTTTAAAGAGCTACCGGGGCAAACAGCATGGAGTAAATGTGCCGTGGAGTAAATGTGCAGTTCTTTGTGAATCTCTCTTGTCAAGTCTGGGTGGGTAGCTCCATAGTTAGGACACAGCGTCAGTGAGGTCCCACTGGGATCGATGTAAACCACTTATGCTGCCCTGGGTCCCAGGCTGCAACTTCAAACCGGGGCCAACCCTCTGACCAAGTGGAGGTTACTGGCATTTGCAGTTAGCTAAAGGCAAACCCTCCTTTTTTTCTTTGGAAATGGTGTCTTGCTCTGTCACCCAGGCTGAAGTGCAGTAGCATGATCTCAGCTCACTAAAACCTCTGTCTCCTGGGTTCAAGCAACTCTCGTGCCTTAGCCTCCCGAGTAGCTGGGATTACAGGCACGTGCCACCACGCCTGGTTAATAAACCCTGCTTTTAAAAGCACTAAAAATATAACTCAATATTATATTTAAATAAATAACTAAATGCTACATCCTGCAGATCAGGGTCCAACTTGTATTATCTCCATATATAAAGAGTGGCACAACTCAGTTATATTTCTATTAGAGCCTCTAGCACTCCAGGTGTGTTTGGATGAAGAAGATAATTAGTAAGCTTTTGTGGTTTAAGAAAAGGATAAACCAGCTGATAAATGTGACATTTTAGCCTATCACATAGTTTCAATTCAGAAAGGTAAGGTCTCAAAAAAACATCAGTAGCAGGAAGAAACCATACTCATGCCTATTTAGATCCCAGGCAACGAATTGCTAATAGGACCATAATGACTGGTCACTCATATGAATATCCACAAATAAAAATGTACTTAAAATAAACGTCAGCATCTTTATATATGACTGAAAGCCTTAAGGTTTTGTCAAAAGAGAATCACAGTGCACCTGAGCTAATGTGCACTGAATTGAATACAGTTTTACATAGCTTTCATTTTTTTTTTTTCCAGATCCATAATGATTTTTAAATCGAACACAAACACACTGGCAACTTATGGATAAAAATAAGAAATGTTACAATATTACAACCAGATGGTTTGCCAAAATGCAGAACAAAGTAAAAAATAAATAAAGCATGAAAAAGAGCACTGAGGAACAAAGAGCTGAGAACCATGGGCAGTGAACATGTTGACAAACAGCACACTATGAGCGGGCGTTTATTCCACTTGGTACCTGTCAGCAGTCTGTATGCTGGGCTGAAGCACAGGTAAGAATTCCTGCTGTAGCAACCCCATGGGAGGGCTAGAAGGCCTTAAAAAAACAGCAAACAGCAGCATTCAAACACCCACACCGACTCACCCTGCACTGCAAAAACAACACTCCAGAGAAAATACACAAGACTGGAAGCAGACTAAACAGAAACTTGTTAACCTCAACAAGCCCCTGGCCATGGCTGGGTGTTTAAGGAGACTGGGGAGAAGCTAGCCAGCCCTCACTGCACCTGCTGCTGCTGGTGCATGTCCAGAGTCGTCTCAGTTCCTGGTCCCAGAGCTCAGCCCCCCTGTGATGTGGTATAAAAAGTGGTCAGGGAGGAAGAGGACGATGGAATGTAGCTGAATGGCAATAGGGGGCAGGGGCAGCCTTTGTGAAGACACATTTTCAAAGCCAGCCTCTTTGCTTTCCACGTTTCTCATAGTGTCCCATTCCCAGCATTCAGCCTGGTGATGTCTGGTAACCACCTTTAACAGGACTGCAGCCCCACTGGAGAGGACTTTCCAAGAGGATTAAAGGGTCTGGCAAAGTTTTTGATTAAAAAAAAAAAAAAAAAAAAAAAGGGCGAGTTTGAATTTCAAAAACGTATTGAGAACAGATTGAGGGGAAAATAAGAGTCCGGGACCCATGGCTGTGCGGAATTCTGTAACAACAAAGATTTAGTGTATTAGCTGGTGATCACCTCATTGAACATTATCATTGACCCTATTCAGAGTATAAGTAGGACATTGTTTTTCATTTTAATCCACTCTAATACAACTAAGATACTGCATGTATCAGCATAGAAACATTATTCTATTTTAAAATACTTAAGAGCAAAAGATCTGTATAACAAGTAAAGAGCTTCTCCCTCCATTGAGTCAAGCACTGGGTGCCCTCATGTTGGTACTGTACCTGCTTGCATCCCAGATGCCACAGCTAAGGCGGACTCAGCCTTACCCCCGGGGAGGAGTGCACATGCTCACAACATCTCTGCTACTCATCTGGAGGGACCACCCAAAAGGTCTGGAATGGCTTCAGACAATTTGTTTGGAACCCAAAGGGAAAAGGAATTGACATTGTTTAATGAAGATTCCAACCATTTCCTCTGTTAGGAAGAGCTCTCTGTCTTAAGCAGTGTGCTTCTACCATGTTCATTTAGGCATAAGTAATTAACCTTGAGATTCACACAGTGAAGACTGGCCAAATCCCTACAAGGTCAGATTACTAGGGAATAATCCTTATTCTCGCTTCCAAACTGATGAAACTGCAGCTTTTCTAAGAGGCTTGTCTTCTATAGAAAGTTAGAAGAAAGTAAGGGTTATGCCAATCAACGTGGGAGAGCCTAGAGTTATTCCTTACAAGTCAGAAGTGCATGATGGATGTCCTTTACACAAACAGTTCCAAACACCCTTCCCTGTGATACTAGCTGGTACCCAGCACTCCCCTGCTCTCATTCCTCATCCTAGGGATTGTCTGCATGGACTTACGTCACTGTTCAGCTCAGTAAAAACTGGTAAAAGAAGAATGGTTCAGTACAATGAAGACTGAGGTTCAACTGTTGATTTTTTGACAATCCATCTCTCACACTTGCACAAACAGTTCAGCATTATCTAGGTAAAGTGATAGTCATCTGTAGGTTTAATCCTATCTACACAAACTTGGGTACCACTTTGGCTGTCTCTGTATTAATTCGTATGGTAACTCCTGATGAAAATTAACTAAACAGCTTTATTCAGGGTGTATCTGTATATCCAGTTTCAAAGTCTAGAAAACAAATCACAATACAAAAGGGGTTACCTGGGCTCCCGTATCCAAAGGTAATCTTTATCCCCAAACACTGTTAAGAATATTTGGAACAACACAGTTATTCTTCCCATAGTTTTGATTCACAATCTTAGAAAAGTAAATGGAGATGGGAAGATGCCAGTCCTTGTCCATCCTGCTTAAGCAACCCAATGCAGAAAGGGCTCGTGTATTTTTAAAGAGAGCATTGCTCTTTTATTTTAAAAGTTTATAATTTAATAACAGTAAGATGAAGGGAACAAAATAAAACTTAATCTTTCCATTCTTGAGAATGGATTCCACGAGACCCTATTCCTGCTAGACATAAAAAGAAATGTTTGTTATGCAGCAAATTACTAAGGTTACAGAAATCTAAAATGCACATTTCTTCTTTCCCTAGACATTTTTCTAAGACTATCAAGATAGAACAAGATGTAGTTTTGCTTTCAACAACTGAAAACTAGTTTCTTCCACAATTGAGGGAAAAAGAAAAATGTTTGTAGCTTTAGCAGTACCTTCTTCTCGCTCAGGGTTCAGTCTCTTGGAGAAACTCTAACACTGACTTACAGACACACTGAATGTGCAGGAAGCAAAGGAGGAAGTATGAAAATAAAACTTCACGTGGCATTTACAGCAGAGAGGATATATTACCCAAACTACAATGAGGATTGAAGGAGAGAAGCAGGATTTATGAGCTATTTAAAAATCATAAATGGTCACTAATTTGGCATTTTAATCTGGGCGAACCCGGAATTTTAGTAACATCCTGCGGGTGAGGGGAGGATGATGGAGACCAACCACTGGCACCATCATTTCTTGACAGGTGTGTTCTCAGAGGCACTACACCTGGCTATTTTATTAATACTTCGTACTATGTAAGTAATGAGGATTGCATAGGAGGGCTTCATAGATAGTTTATAAATAAAAAGTCTGTAGTTTTTTCTAAAGAATTTTTCTAACGCAGCAGAATTAAGTACAGCTGTTTTTTTTTTTTTTTTTGAGGCGGAGTTTTGCTCTTGTTGCCCAGGCCGGAGTGCAATGGTGCTATCTTGCCTCACTGCAGCCTCTGTCTTCTGGGTTTAACCAGTTCTCCTGCCTCAGCCTCCTGAGTAGCTGGAATTAGAGGCACCTGCCACCATGCCCAGATTAAATTTTTTTTTTTTTTTTTTTTTTTTTGTATTTTTAGTAGAGACGGAGTTTCACCATGTTGGCCAGGCTGGTCTCTAAGTCCTGGCCTCAGGTGACCCACTGGTCTCCGCCTCCCAAAGTGCTGGCATTACAGGCGTGAGCTACCTCGCCCGGCCACTCAGCTGTTCTTAATTAAAGGCACTCTGTGCCTAATCAGAAACTTACAGAATCACCCTGTAAATTTTTTAAAGGAAAAGTTATCATGAATGAGGCTTTTGTCTGTGAAAAAGTTGCAAATGTGACAAAAATACCCCAATTTAAGCAAAGTGTTTGAGAAATGTAGTTAAAGGAAATGCGAGTCTTTCAAAAGGTACCCAGAATCAAACTGACTGTCAAAATGGACACCAGGTTCAAAGTCCTTTGTATAAAATTTTTGATAGGCATAGACATTTACAAATACTTCATACAAAGACACAAAAGGTGAGCACTCAGAGTGGAGGAGCAAAAGAGAGCATACTTACTTGATCAGCATTCCTTGATTGGGTAGTAATTCCAGATGAATTTTCCCACCTTCCTGAGTTCTCAAGTAGGCAAATTCCTCCAGCATATCAATATCTGCAGGCCAGATCAGGTTAACCACATGTAAAAAAAAATGGTTCCAGTTCTCTCTGATGAGGAAATGGGGTTTTGGCAATTGAATAACTTGCCCATCACCATCCCACTATCTGCAGACTCCATATTTGAACCTAGATCTGCCTGATTCCAAAACCTGATTCTTTTTTTTTTTTTTAAAGACAGAGTTTTGTTCTTGTTGCTCAGGCTGGAGTGCAATGGCACAGTCTGGGCTCACCACAACCTCTGCCTCCCAGGTTTGAGCGATTTTCCTGCCTCGGCCTCCTGAGTAGCTGGGATTACAGGCACCTGCCACCATGCCAGGCTAATTTTATATTTTTAGTAGAGACAGGGTTTCTCCATGTTGGTAAGGCTGGTCTCGAACTCCTAACATCAGGTGATCTGCCCACCTCGGCCTCCCAAAGTGCTGGAATTATAGGTGTGAGCCACTGCACCCAGCCTCTAAAACATGAATCCTATATCCACCAAACTCCCTTGTACAGATAATTCTTGGCATGAGACATGCCAGGCTGAAGGGCATGAGGATATGTTTTCCATATGGATAATTAAATACTACATGGTTGCAAGAGCAAAATTTTTTTGTTTTCTTAATAAAAAATGAGAGACATGACATGAGTAGGGAGGATCATTTGGTGTTATAGAACATGAAATTCATAAAAATAAAATGATTACTTCTTCACAGCTGGGGTGCAAGGATTTTTAGATGCATCAGGGGAGGAAGCTTCTGCGAGTCACCCAAATTTTATGCAAAATGTCGATGACATTCATATATGCGTTTTTCTAGTGAAAAAATATGTAACTTTCATCAGATTCTCAAAAGATACCTGTCCTAAAAAAGGTTAAAAACTATTATTTTGGTCTGGCAGGGTAGTGCATGCCTGTAGTCCTAGCTACTCAGAAGGTTAAGGCAGGAGGTCTCTTGAGCCCAGGAGTCTGAGGCTGCAGTGTGCTATGATCATGCCATCATATGTGAGCCTGGGTGACACAGCAAGACCCTGACTCTAAAAATATAAAAACTGGCCACGTGCGGTGGTGTACACCTGTAATCCCAGCACTTTGGGAGACCAAGGCAGGTAGATCACAAAGTCACCATCCTGGCCAACATGGTGAAATCCTGTCTCTACTAAAAATACAAAAATTAGCAGGGTGTGGTGGTGTGGGCCTGAAGTCCCAGCTACTTGGGAGGCTGAGGCAGGAGAATCACTTGAACTTGGGAGGTGGAGGTTGCAGTGAGCCCAGATTATGCCACTACACTCCAGCCTGATGACGGAGCGAGACTCTGTCTCAAAATAAAAAATTAAAAAGATTAAATAAAAAAATAAAAACTATTGCTGTGAGCACCTGAACAAGAATATCATTTATATTCCTTGCAGTTCAAAAATAATTGGTTAGATAAGCAATGAAGTAAAAACACTCAAACTGATAAATACCTTTAATTCAAAGGTCTTTCCCTAATAAACAGTGTGAAGTAGAGCATTAACCTAACATTAGAAGCAGCTCTTGGGCTGGGCAGCATCTTTGGTGGATACTCACTGGGAGGTAAGACAGCTGTGGCAGGGTGCCCTAACAAGAGATTGCAGGGCACAGCCACTGTCCCGAGAGGCCACAGGAGGCATGCTTTTGATAAGATGGAAGAAGAGGAACTGTTAATATTCTATCCATGGCTAAACCGGCCAAGCTGGACCTATCAGCAACCTGTAGGCTATTACTGTAGGCATCTTGGCCTTCTTAGAAGCCAGCTAGCAGTGGATGGAAGAGGGTTGTGAGATTCCTAATTCTTGAATCATGTCTTTTACAACTTTCACAAGATCAACTGCCACAGGCCCAGTTTTAATCCCCATTCCTTCTCTTCCCCCCAAAATAGTAAAAATCATTATTTCTATCCAGAATGGTTCATTCATTTTTGAACATGCATTCATTCTAAAGAAAATTAGAATGCGTTATGCTTAAACAAGAAAAAAGGATACTTGTAACGTAATTGAAAAAATTCTCATATTGGAAATTTCCTTGTTGGCAAATTTTATTGACAGCTTTCAGGAAAAGGTTCTCGCCTCGTGGCCACTCTTGCTGAAGCAACACAATCACATGCCCCAGTGCCATGTCGTCTCTGTTGTCTGTGAAAGCTCTAAGCTGCAGGACAAAGATTTATACAAAACAGAAGGAAAAGGAAGTCACAGGGTTATCTGAAATACACCAAACATCACTTTCTGAAAACATGTATATGCAAATGTGTGATAAAGGTCATTAGAGTAAGAAGGAAACAAAGTCTTAACGAAATGGCTGGTAAACATCGCAGCTGCCTTCTGGGGAGGGTGGATTCTAACCATCTTTGGATAGAAGCCTCAGGCTCCCTTTGGGCTGTGCACAGCCGCTGGCAGTGTATGTAGATGGGAGTTAGATACAGGTGGGCCTGAAGCTTTTGCATATGGGTAGAGAACATTGATTCATCCTGTGTAACGGAGAAATGAATCTGGAGATTTCTTTGAAGGGAAGCAGACGGGAGCAGAAGGTGGGCAAGAGCCATCCGGGAGAGAACTATTCAGAGAGAACATGGGATTGGGGAGAAAGAAAGGCAGTGAGCTACAAGGAAATAAGTACTAGCGTGAACTAGAGAAATGCTCAAAGGAGGTTTTGTTTTAAATGAGCGATTAATGCATAAAATCACATTTTACATTTTTTCTGTTGTCCCAAGTGATAGGGATGATGAGTTAAGTTTGGGAGTTACTGCACTAAAGTGGAGACCCAATGTTTTACTCTGGCCAACAAACCTTGAAACAATGAAGCCTCCCTGCTCTAAGGCTCTGCTCTCTACCTGCAGCCAAGGGCCCTGGTGTTCTTTCAAGTCCTGGAACTTTCCCAGCACTGCTGGGTTGTTACTGGTGTTGATCTTAACACCTAACATGCTTCATCTAGCATATCTTTACAATGACAAACTCATGATCCCTCTGTGAACACAACTGCAATCTGTATTCTCTTTCTTTGTAGGTAATATATTTATATTCATAAAATATTTACCGAACACTGTAACAGTACAGGTTATTTGCATATCTGTCCCACTATCACACTTTTCGAGGATGGGGAGAATTTCCTACTTCTCTTTGCCTAGTGCAGTCACTATTTAATTAAGATTTGTTAATTACTAGTCCATAAGCTTTTCCAAGTGTACTGGCCTGCCCTTGAAAGTATTAAACTAACAATCCTTAACAAGGCTCTGACGTTTTCAAGTCATAAGAGTAATATTTGAAATTATTTTTTTTCAAGCTCATCAAGTTTAAGCTTACCTTAAAACAGGCTAACATTAAATGCAGGCAGTATGGCATGATAGCCTTGCTGGTACAAGGCAGGAGTTTCAGATCCAAACCTAACAGAAGTCCACAATGTTACGTTAATGTCCATTATTATCAAAGAAAATGGCTTTGAAAGGCAAATGTTTACGAAGTTTTCATTTAAAAAAAAAAAACAAAACAAAAACAAGAAAACAAAAGGATACACAATTGTCACATGAATTCAGTTATAGTTGAAACACAGTCATGCTTTATGATGGTGAAATTGGCTTTTGACAGTCTCTAGATTTCATTTATCGATATTCTTTCCTAAATTTGTTTAAATACTTTTAATGATAAAATATTTTAAATATACAGAAAATTATATAGAGAGACTATGATAAACACTGGTGTGCTTACCACTCAGCTTCTTGAAATGTTAGTATTTTAATTTTAAACAATTCTAATATAAATGATCACAAAATCAGTCAAAGCCTATTGTGTATCCTTCCGTGATCCCATTCTCTTCCAGCCCAGAGGTAGCCATAATTCTGAAGGCAGTGGTGGTCATTCCTGTGAATATTACACACTTCTATCGCAGAAGTTTGTATTTATAAACAACACTGGAGTGTTTTGCATGCTTTCAGTCTACTATATAAATAGTGTCATAGTGTATGTATTTTCTTCTGCAAATTGCTTTGTCTACTCAACTTCATGTGGTTCAGATTTATCAACTGGTCAATATCAATACATGTAGCTCCCGTTCATTCATTTTCAGTGTTACATAGTATTCTGTTGTCTACATATACCGTAAATGATGCATCCAATCTTTTTATGGTGGAGGTTGACATTTCCAATTTTTCACTATTACAGTGTTAAATATACATTCTTACATATTCTTGTACATTATGGAAATAACTATAAGCAATGGCTTTCAAAGCAAGATCCCAATCTTTTCTTTATGGTCTGTGTTCTTGATGGTTGCTATCTTTCTCTACTCACAGGCAAGTGGCAAGAAATAAATACACTTTTTACATGGGATCCTGTACACACTTACATAATGTGATATATCCAAAACAAAAGGTGCATTAAATAATAGTCTCTCTTCTTATCTGAGATGTCTTTTAAAAATATTATTAAATCCTATCTCATTGTAAAAGAAAAATTGGGGTTGAAACTCATGACCCAGTGAATGAAGATCATAGCTTGAAAAACATTAATCTAAGGTATATAACCAGGAGGTGAGGTATACATAATAATTAGGTAATTAATGTGAAGTTGGTTTCCAGAATGGTTGCATGACTTTGTACACCTTCCAGAAGCACATGGGCACTGTGTTCCTTCACATCCTAACGGTCATTATCTCTTCAATTTTTGCATTCTGATGTGTGTGAAATGGTAGGTTACTGTTTTAATCTGAATTGCCCATATGACTAAAGGTTGAGAATCTTTTCAAGTAGTTTTTGGCCATTTGGATTTCTGTTCCTGTGAATGTGTTGTTCCTGTCCTTTGCCTATTTTTCTACGGGGGTTGATTAATTGCTTCCAATTGGTCTGAAGGGGCTCTTTCAAAACTCTGGATACTAAGTTTTTGTTGATTCTATGTGATAGAGAATTTTCTGGCGGTCTGTGGCTTATATTTTCACTTTGACTGTAATAGCTGTTGTTGGTATTTTAATTTTAATGTGATCAAATTTACTAATCTATTTTTAAATTTTCTTCTAAAAGTTCAGAAGTTTTGGAGTTTTTGCTTTCACATTTCAACCTTAAAATTTAGAGGATGTCTATGTAGTGTGAAGGAGGGGGAATCTTATTATTTTATTGTCATTTTTTACATTTGGAAAATAAACTGCTCTAGTACCACTTACTGAATAAATTCATTCTTCCCCCACTGAATTTTAATGTCATCTATTTCTCAGTTTTCTATGCTGTTCCACTGGTCAATCCCTGTGCCAATACTACCCTGTCTTAATTACTAAAACTTGGAAATAAGTCTTGACGTCAGCTAGGTCACTCTTATCCACCTAATTGGTTTCTGGAAGGTGTATAAAGTCATGGAAATTAAGTCAGCACTACCCAGTTGAACATGTCATTATCTAATAATTACAAACCTTGCCTCGTACTCGTACACCTGAGATTAGTGTTTCTCAAGCTGTGAGTCTTCATCTACAGGGTCATGAGTTTCAACCACAAACTTTCTGTTGTGCAGAAATACTTAATTTTCGAAGAAGCCTGGGCTAGATTTTTTTTTTAACCATTTGTTATAGAAAAGTTAAAACATATACAAAGTAATCTGCTCTAGCAGAATTCGTTGAAAAGTCTTTCCTTTCTCTATTGAATTACTTTGATGCCTTCAATGAAAATCATTTGATCAATATGCAGGTCTATTTCTGGATTCTCCATTCTTATATTAATATTTTGTCAACTGTCTTGATTATTATGCTTGTATATTAAATCTTGTTATCATGCAGTATAAGTCACTTGTGTCTTTTTTAAAACTGTGTTGACTGTTCTAGATTATGTAATATTTTCACTGACATTTTAGAATCACTTTGTGAACTTCTACCAAAAAACCTCCAAAAATCATAAAGTCTGCTATAATTTTGGTTGAAATTGTATCTAATCTATAGATACGTTAGGGAAGAACTGGCACCATAATAATAATTGAATCTTCTGATCTAGAAACATGATCTGTCCATTTTCAGAAATCTTTAATTTTTCTCAGAAATGTTTTGTGGTATTCAAAGTGGACGTTTTGCACATTTTTCGTTAAATTTACCTCTAATATTTTATGGTTCTTTTGATGCTATTAGAAACGCTATCTTAAAAAAATCATTTTCTAACTGCTTATTAATAGCATATAAATTGAACTGAGTTTTTTATATATTAAAGTGTCTTGGAAATTTTTTTTTTCTTTTTGGAGACAAGGTCTTACTCTGTCGCCTAGGCTGGAGTGCAGTGGAGCAATCTTGGCTCACTGAAATCTCCGCCTCCCAGATTCAAGTGATTCTCCCACCTCAACCTCCTGAGTAACTGGGATTAAAGGTGTGTGCCACTACACCTGGCTAATTTTTGTATTTTTAGTAGAGATGGGGTTTTACTATGTTGGCCAGGCTTGTCTAAAATTTCTGGTCGCAAGTGATCCTCCTGCCTTGGCCTCCCAAGGTGCTGGGATCAGAGGCGTGAGCCACCACGCCTGGCCTTGGGAACTTGTCAGATTCCCTCAAGTTTTCTACATAGCCAAATATGTAACTGTGTTGGTTTCTTGAGACAGAGAAATCTTTCTCTGTTGCCAGGCTGGAGTAAAATGACGTAATCATGGCTCACCATAGCCTTGACCTCCTAGGCTCAAGCAGTCCTCCTGCCGCAGCCTGTAGAGGGTAGCTGAAACTACAGGTGTACACCACTAAGCCTGGCTAATTTTTAAATTTTTTGTAGAGATAGGATCTCACTTTGTTGCCCACGGTGGTTTGAGCTCCTAGACTCAAGCGATCCTCTTGCTTCAGTCTCCCAAAGTGCTTGATTACGGGCGTTAAGTTATCATGGCCGGCCAAAACATGTAACTGTGAATAAAGGTAGCCATATCTGTGAATAGTCTTTTAAATCTTTATGCCTTTATTCACTTTTCTTGCCTGCTGTACTGTCTAGAATTTCCAGAATATTGAACAGAAGTAGTGAGAGCAGACATCCTTGTACAGTTTCTAATCTTAGTGGGAAAAAGCATTCAATATTTCACAGTTAAGTTTGATGTTAAAAAATAGTTTCCTTCTATTCCTAGTTTGCTAAGATTTTTGTTATCATGAAGTGATGTTGAATTCTGTCTGAATCGACTAAGACAGTCATGATTTTTCTCCTTCTATCTGCTAATGAAGTGAATTGCACTGATTTTTATATGTTCAAACACCTATGCATTCCTGGAATACTTGGTCATAATATATTGTCCTTCTATATTGCTGTATTCAGTTTGCTAATATTTTGTTAAGGATTTGGCACCTATGATAGTTCATGAAAGATACTGGCCTTTAAAGTTATTTTCTTGTGATGCTCTTGCTTGGTTTTGCTATCAGGGTTATTGTGTCGGCCTTAAAAAAATGAATTAGGAATCTTCCTCTATTTTCTGGTAAGAACTTGTGTAGATCGCTTCTCGGCCTTTTGGCTAAGATCAAGTGAAGAATTTGTGTAGAATTGGCACTATTTCTTCCTAAATTCTTGATAGAATTCACCAATGAAGAAATTTGGACCTGAATTCTTTGTGGAAGGTTTTTGATAACAAATTTAATTTCTTTAATAGCTAAAGGAACATTCTCTCTCTGTTTCTCTGTCTCTTTCTTTCTTTCTTTCAACAGTGTCTTGCTTTGTTGCCCAGTCTACCAGTGCCGTGCTGTGATCTTGTCTCACTGCAACCTCTGCCTCCCAGGTTCAAATGCTTTTCCCACCCCAGCCTCCAGAGTAGCTGAGACTACAGCACACCCAGCTAATTTTTGTATTTTTAGTAGAGACGGCATTTCACCATGTTCCCCAGGCTGGTCTCCAACTTATAGGCTCAAATGATCTGCCTACCTTGGCCTCCCAAAATGCTGGGATTACAGGTGTGAGCCACTGTTCCCAGCAGAACATTCTGATTTTCTATTTCATTTTTGTGTCAATTTTGGTAAACTGTGTTTTTAAGAAACTTTTTCATTGTATCTAAGTTGCTGAGTTTATTGGCATAAAGCTTTTCATAATGTATTCTTTTATTGGCCTTTTGATTTCAGTAGGATCTGTAGTGACATCCCCTTTTTTATTTCTGATATTGGTAATTTACGTTCACTTTCCTCCTGATTGATCTTGTTAGGGGGTTATCAATTTTATATATTTTTCCAAAAAACCTTCTAGTGTTATTAATATTCTCTATTTTGTTTTCTATTTCATTGATTTCTGCTCTTAGCATTACTCTTTCCAGTCATCTATTTTCTTCAGGTTTAATTTATGTATCTTTTTCTAAAAAACGTACATCAGTTGTACATTTCACTTTTCAAGCAATATGAAGCTTGAGCTGAAGCTCAGAATGGTTTCAAAGGGATGTGCTGACAGATACCCCCTAATTAATCATCTACACATTTTCCTAGCATTGTAAAGATAGGAAGAAGAATTCACTGAAATTCGTCAAAGAGATAACAAACTCAGGAAGTGAACACAGCTTTAGAAGTAAGACATTTACAGCTGCTCATGAAATCAGAGCCAAGGAAAAACTTGGAAAGGGATTAACTTTTTATAAAATTTTTGGCAAGCCCTGCGGCAGTATTATGTCCTTAGGAACTGTAAAACATTGTTCAGCCTGGGGTCCTACAACTATTTTTCTTTTAAAATTTTTTTAAGAGATGGGATCTCCCTATGTTGCCCAGGCTGGTCTCAAACTCCTGGGCTCAAGCGATCCTCCTGCCTCAACCGCCAGGTAGCTGAGATTGTAAGTGTCAGTCATCGTGCCTGGCTTTTACGCTATTTTTACAAAATCATAATAAAACATGTCACTGTACCTTTTCTAAATTTAGGCTTTATTTTTGTGGGTTCCTCCTGGGATTTGCCTCCATCTTGAATGGGGAGTACCATGTAGCACATCAGATCGAGGACTTTTTCACATGTCATCTAAAGTAGAAAAGACCAAAAGGGACTAACTTGAAGCTTTCTGAACTGAAATCAAATAAACAAAGTACCAAAATATTTGCAGCATACAGTCAGACAATGTGTACATGGAGGTCTCTATTTCCATCTCTATGTGGTCACTACTTGCTCTACAGTGAATACAGATCATTACTTGCTCAACAGTGAACAATAAGAATCTATGTACTAGACCTTTGAGGGAACAATAACCCATTCTTTGCTATTAAAAAACAAAACTTAAAAATTAACCAAGCATTGAGTACTGAGGTGTTCAACAGCACAGCAGCAGCCAAAAGAAAAGATGTCCCTGCCCAAAAGACACTGACTAATACACTGCATAGAAAAACTAACAATAAAATATGTAGCAGAAGTCTAAGGGGTATAACCTAAAACACAGGTGAAAAGACACACAGGTGAAACTAGCAGGAAAAGCTTCAGGCAGGTAGGTTATCTTGTTCTAAGCTTTAAAGAGAAGAAGGATTTGGAATGCAGAAAAGAGGCCTTTAGAGCAGGAGAGAAAGACAGGGGGAAGGGCTGTGTATGGGTTTAGGTGATTTGCCTGAGGTCCAGAGGTTTGGTCTGGGACACAGATGAGATGCTGGACGGATGCAGTACTGGTGGAGGAGAGGAGCCTCGACTGCCTCTGTGCAGGCCGGCCTTGATCCAGACGCTCGGTATCACCACTCCCTCGCTACCTACTCCGATTCTAACAACAATCAGTTTCATGCAATGGGCCTTTTCTGTGTCAGCAAACCCTTTTGCTATTTCCATTTGCCAGATAACAAAGTGGAGCTTCTTTTTTTTTTTTTTCCTTTTATACAAAAGGCCAGAGACTTCTCTGGGTCTCCAGGTAATTTTTTTTTCTTTAAGTTCAGGGATACATGTGCCAAACGTTTGATGTGTTATGCAAACATGTGCCGTGGTGGTTTGCTGCATCTATCAACCTGTCATCTAGGTTCTAAGCCCTGCATATATTAGGTATTTGTCCTAATGCTCTCTCTCCTTGTCCGCACCCCCCAACAGGCCCCTCTCTCCTTTTCCCCAACCCCCCAAGAGGACCCAGTGTATGATGCTCCCCTCCCTGTGTCCATGTGTTCTTACTGTTCAACCCCCGGAAGTGGAGCTTTAAACCCATGCTTCCCAACTCTTTTCACATTGTGGCACACCCTGAAAGTAATCTGTGTGAGGCTGATCAGGGTTGGCAGCAGTTGACCCTGGGTGGCCCCAGCAGCCCTAGGTCATGGCTGACCGCCCCAAAGGCTACAGGATCCATATTTTGGCACCTCTAGAACCCACCTATGCCCACAGGGTTGTGAAACTTAGTTTAGAGACAGGCAGCCTGGGAGCTGAGAACTTGAACGCTGGAGTTGGATAGGCCTGGGTGAGGTAACCTGACAACGTCACAGAGCTAGCCAAGCCTTGGACTCCAGAGCTATGAGCTGCCATTCTCAATGCCCATCTCCAGCCAATCTTTTCCATAAATCTTTCCTTGACTCTTTGGACCCAACAAAGAAAGCACCCCTCCCTGAATGCCTATTGTACTTATGACTGAGGCCTACCAATTAATATTTGTTTTTTAATTGACTTATACCTTATACTTTTTTCCCTAACTCAAACCATATGCCCCTGAAGGCAGGGATCCCATATTCCCCACACCCTACTTTTACTCCTCACCCAACAGCGGGGTTCAACACTGAGCACCAAGAAAGCCAGTACTTCAATTCAGTGGAGTGATGAAAGCAGTATAATAGAAAGCAAAGACCATAATCTTACAGAGTTGGAAAAAGAGTTATAGGCCAAAAACTTAGTTAAAAGGTATGGATTAGGGTGGTGACAATAGAAATACAAAGTAATATAGCAAAGGGATTAGTATCACACTGGAAGAATCAAAAGGATTAGTTCGAGTAAGAGTCCACCATGACTTGAAAGTTTTGTGTCTCAGGGCCAGTACTACGATCTGAATGTCTGTGTTCCCACCAAAATGTGTGTGTTGAAACTGAACCCCCAATCTGAGGGCATCAGGAGGTACAGCCTTTGGGAGGTGAGTAGCTGATGAGAGCGAAACCCTCATGAATGGGATTTGTGCCCTTATCAAAGAGACCCTGGAGTGCTTTTTTGTCCCGTCTATGAAACAGGAAGCAGGACCTCACCAGACACGAATCTGCTGATGCCTTGTTCCTGGACTTCCCAGCCTCCAGAACTGTGAGAAACAAATTCCTGTCGTTTACAAGGCTCACCTTTCATGGTATTTGGTTATAGCAGCCCAAGCAGACTAAGACAGCTACTAAGGACACTTACATCCAGACATATTGAGTCTGGGCTAAAGACAGGAAGTCGAGAATCATGTTAAGTCTGACACTGCCTATAGGCCTAATAGTGATGTACTCAGAGGTTGGAACTAAGCTCTCAAAGGGAAGAAGTTTATCTTGTTTAATTAAATCTACTAGTTTATATTCCCTACTACAATGAAGTAGTACACGGTGCAGCTAACTCTACATGAGATATGTATATTGGTGTGAGTAAATACACACTGCCTTTTAAGTTCTTAAAAGGAATTAATTAAAACAGAATTAAGTAACTGATAGATGATACATAAATAATGGTGGAAAGGCATTTTCAATTTTGAATGCACATACTCCACACATTCTCCAATTGTTCCTTTCTAAAAATCATTATGACAAATTATTAATAATATTTCAGAGTTCAAGTTAAAAAAAATTCAGCGGTTTTTCTTTTTTTTTTGAGATAGAGTCTTTTTTTTTTTTTTTTTTGGCTCTTGTTGTCCAGGCTGGAACGCAATGTCCACCTCCCAGGTTCAAGTGATTCTCCTGCATTAGCCTCCCGAGTAGCTGGGATTACAGGCACCCACCACCATACTCAGCTAATTTTTGTATTTTACTTAGTAGAGACTGGGGTTTCACCATGTTGGCCAGGATGGTTTCAAATTCCGGACCTCGTGATCCACTCACCTCAGCCTCCCAAATTGCTGGGATTACAGGTGGGAGCCATGGCGCCTGGCCAAAAAATTTAGGGTTTTTAATCACAAAGTGATCAACCACGTAGAGAGGTGGGAATAAATCCATTTGTTGTGTTATGTTGTAGCCTTGAATTTATACAGTCCTTGCACACACAACAACATGCTTATCGTTTTAAATGAATTCAAACATTTATTGTACTGTGGTAGGTGTCATGAAAGTTCAAAGATAAAAACACAGTCCCCACCCTGTAGTAGGCAGGGCTCAAAATCTCCTGGAGGAAACATGCCCATTTATATATCTGCTCCTGCAACACTCCTATCAGCTGTTATGACTTTTTTTCTTTTTTTTTTTTTTGAAACAGAGTCTCCCTCTGTGGCCCAGGCTGAAGTGCAGAGGCACAATCTTGGCTCGCTGCAACCTCCACCTCCCAGGTTCGGCTGACTCTCCTGCCTCAGCCTTTCAAGTAGCTGGGATTACAGGCACCTGCCACCACATCCAGCTAATATTTGTATTTTAGTAGAGATGGGGTTTCACCATGTTGGCCAGGCTGGTCTTGAACTGCTGAGCTAAAGTAAACTTCGTACCTTGGCCTCCCAAAGTCCCGGGATTATAGCCATGAGCCACCACACCTGGCGTGTTATTACCATTGAAAGAGAGAATCTGAGGTTTGAGTAAGCTAAATATAAATCCTCCATTTCCCACTTAATAATAGCCTTGTTTTTCCAAGTACAACAGAACAGGCAAGAGTGTAATAATAATAAAAAGAAAAATAATAAAAAGAAAAATCTTCCAACAAATGGAACAACGAACAAGAAACTTAAAAAGTACTGATGCCTCATTTCAGGGAAGTTGTAGTAAAGAGAAAATTACATAAAACAAAATCATTGTGATGTTCATTAGCAGATTAAGTAACAAATCTAGGTAGAAAGATCAAATTGAAACACACTTGCACTGAATAAAAAAGCCACGCTGGGCAAAGGAGAAAGCCCTGGTGGCCCTGCGCCCCTGAGGCCAGCATGTGAGCAGTACTCACTCTGTACTCCCCTAGTGCAAAGTGGCACGTCGCCAGCTGGATGAGCGCCCTCTGATGCTCCAGGGTCCCCTGCCCTGTGATCGGTGGCTGAGAAATGGATCCCTGGAGAGCTGCTAAGTGATGCAGGCTGGCTATTGCCTTTTTATATTGACCCTAAGAAAGATAGAAAAGCAAGGAGAAAAAAAAAATTGCCATTAAAGAACGAAATTAAAAAAAAAAAAACAACAACCCTTCCAGAGTTCATTAAGCAATGAGCAAGCAACTATACAAAGAAGGTAGCTTGGTTTGATCATCTGAGGAAGAAATGGAGACTTAGCAATAGAAATCACATCAACTTAATTAAAGCCAGGTGGGAGTTCTTTATGGTATTACTTTATAAGGATGAAGATTTTTCTTTCTGGGGTTAGGTCTTCAGACTAAAGAAAATAACCAACACATTTTGATCCAACACATTTTGGATGTAACATTTCTTTAGAAATATTTTACTGCAAGTAGCACGTCTCCTCTATGAAGGACAGAGCAGCAACCTGCCCATTCCAACAGCAGCTCACTGGTGAATTATCGACTCTCTCCATTCTAGGTCTAAGATGCTGGAGAACAGTACAGACAGGCAGACTCCACCAGTGGAGAGAGGAGGAGGGTGAGAAGTAAACCTCTTTTACGGAAAATTGAAAATCTTACTTCTATAGAGAGGTATGACTGGATATAGCAAAGTAACACAAAAGGTACAGTCTTGTCATTTTGGAGTTTTTGTTTTGTTTTGTTTTTGAGACAACGTCTCACTGTCACCCAAGCTGGAGCACAGTGTTGCTATCATGGCTCACTGCACTTTTGACTTCCTGGACTCAAGTGATCCTCCCACCTCAGCCTCCTCAGTAGCTGGAGCTATAGCCACATGCCACCACACTTGGCTAAGTTTTTTATTTTGTAGAGACAGGGTCTCACTATGTTGCCAGGTCTGGTCTCGAACTCCTGGGCTCAAGCAGTCTTCCCACCTTGACCTCCCAAAGTACTGGAATTACAGGCATACGCCACTGTACCCAGCCCAGAATTATTTTGAAAGGAAAGTGGACCACACCCACTCAGCCACTCAAGACAGAACAGGTGTAAGCAGGCAATGGGCTGGCCCAAGAGGGAAGATGGCACATCATGCGTGTGAAAGCTGGTTCGCCACGATAACCATCCTGTACAGACACAGGTACCGAAAATACATTTAATACTCTACCTGATAGATGATCATATCAGTGAGGAAGATTCTTAACCAAAGCCAAGTATCCGTCTTCCAGGCCATACAAATTCTTGTAAATTCTGAGTGAGAATTCAAAAGCAAATTTATCAAATATATATAGCTATAGCGCAGAAGAAGAAAACAAACAAATCCAGTAAGAGAGAGCAAACTACCAAAAATATATAGTAACTTTGCTTTTGTTTCTAAAACACTGCTCTAGAATTTCAAGGCGAGAAGAAACACATAACACTTATCAGTAATACACAAGTAATATCTTGTAGATGCTAACAACTTACTGAGCACATCCCAGGTGTCAACAACGGTTTAAAGTGCTTTTCATGTATTTCCTCATTTATCTTTTAAACTACTTTGCTTTCCCCAAAACAAGGTCCCATTTTATTTTTATTTTATCTTATTTTTAGAGATAGTCTTCCTGTCGCCCAGGCTAGAGTACAGTGGCCCCAACATGGCTCATAGCAGCCTCGACCTAAACGGCTCAAGCAATCCTCCTATCTCAGCCTCCTGAACACCTGGGACTACAGGCACACGCCACCACACATGGCTAATTTTTGTTTTTTTTTTTTGTAGAGACGGGGTTTTGCCATGTTGCCCAGGTTGGTCTCTAACTCCTGAGCTGAACGATCCATCTGCTTTAGCCTCCTAAAATGCTGGGATTACAGGCATGAGCCACCTTGTCTGGCCCATTTTATTTTGACCTATTTAAAATAACAAACATACAGTGACACTAAAAGGTTTCATTTATTTTTTAAAAAGTCAGTTTTGAACTAAAGGAACGATCCCCTCAAAAAATGTCACATATGTGTTCACAATCCCAGATGTGACAAACAGAAATGGAATGGTGCTACATTTAGTTAGAAAAGATGACACTGAACATCTGGCCAAGGGCTCTGTATGACACATGACTGCAGCCAGGAGATCAATGTCCACAGGTTAAAAGTAAAATAAGGTGCCCGATTCCAAAGTATAGGAAGAATACCTTGGTTAGCAAAGTATAGTAAGAATGCCTTAGTGATTTCTAAGCAATGTCAAAATACTCCGTATCGTCAAAGGAAAATAGGCTTCCTATAGTTTTTGGAGTTTGAGTTTTTCAGAAAATGGAGTTAATGCAGATCAAAACAGCAATACATTTTGTACTGTTAGCCACGTGCAGCTTTAGGAAGGCAGCAGTAGGAAAGAACTAGAAGCACAAAACAAACTGGGTGAGCAAAGGCCAGTACTACAAATATGTACCAGACAGCCCAAAACCTCTCCCTCAAGCTCCACCCCTACCTGAATTATAATATATCCTCAGAGGCAGGAGCTAAAAGGTAGATGGTCATTTGAAAATTCACAACTGATAAGGTATCCTGCTCAGAACAAAATCCTATAAAATGCAGGAACTGGCTGGCTGTGGCAGCTTATCCCTGTAATCCCAACACTTTGGGAGGCACAGGCTGGTGGATCATTTGAGGTCAGGAGTTCAAGACCAGCCTGGCGAAACCCTGTCTCTACTGAAAATATGAAAAATTAGCTGGGCATGGTGGCACATGCCTGTAGTCCCAGCTACGAGGGAGGCTGAGGCAGAAGAATTGCTTGAACCCAGGAGGTACAGGCTGCAGTGAGCCAAGATCACACCATTGTACTCCCGCCTGGGAGGCTGAGTGAGACCCCGTCTCAAAAGAAGAAAAAAAAAATGCATGAACTACTGTAGTCAACTTAATTTGCCGTAAGTGACTTGACGTTTCAAGTAGCATAATGATTTTATATAAAACCTTAAATAGCACCAATGACGTGCGTTTTCTTACCTTTGTCAAGGAATTCTAGGGAATACAGCAACTCCCAGCTTTCCCTGGCCCATTTAAAGCTTTCTAACACTTCCACAGAGTTAGCAAGTTCGGCTTTATTAACCACAATGTGACGATTTCTTCCTTTCGCTGAACAGTCTTCATCGTCTGAACTCTGCTTACAGAATGTGGAGAACGTGGTTAGTTCAGTTAAAAATATAGTCATATATGGGAACATATTATTGCTGCCAGCTTTGCCCATTACATGAATTTCATATCAAATGATACTGCATACATACAATGTTTTTGAATTTAACAATTTAGCTTTGAAAATTAAGATATATTTTTTGTCTTTATACTCTCACACATTTCCATTTTTACTTTTAAAATGGAGCGAATTTTTTTTCTGATGCTAAATTCTTATATTTGTTTGTGGTGGTTTTGGAGCAAAGTTTAAAAAATATCAGTTTTATGAGAGTCAAAATTTAGATTTTTTACATTAAGAGACACAACTTAAACAGCACCTGTTTATAGTTTACTTTTTTTCTAATATGTGACATGATTTAACTGGCTTCCAGATAATGGTTTGGCATGTACTAGGATAAAATTAAAGCCCGAGTCCAGGCTCAGTGGCTCATGCCTATAATTCTAGCACTTTGGGAGGCCAAGAAGGATAGATCATTTGAAACCAGGAGTTCAAGATCAGCCTGGCCAACATGGCGAAACCCCATCTCCACTAAAAATACAGTTAGGCCAGGCGTGGTGGCTCACACCTGCAATCCCAGCACACTGGGGAGGCCGAGATGGGTGGATCACGAGGTCAGGAGATGGAGACCATCCTGGCTAACACAGTAAAACCCTATCTCTACTAAAAATACATAAAATTAGACAGGTGTGGTGGTACACTGCTTGTAGTCCCAGCTACTTGGGAGGTTGAGGCAGGAGAATTGCTTGAACCCAGGAGGCAGAGGTTGCAGTGAGCCAAGACTGCACACTGCACTCCAACCTGGGTGAAAGAGTGAGACTCTGTCTCAAAAAAAAAAAAAAAAAAAACAAAAACAAACACACAAACAAACAAAAAAACAATAAAGTTAGCTGGGCATGGTGGTGCGTGCCTGTAATCCCAGGAGGCTGAGGCACAAGAATCACTTGAACCCAGGAAGCAGAGGTTGCAGTGAGCAGAGATCACACCACTGTGCTCTAGCCTGGGTGACAGAGTGAGACTCTGTCTCAGCAACAAAAAAAATTAAGGCCTGCGTCGTCTAAGAAATAATGTCAGAGAATAACTGTTAGTTATCTTTGGTTCACTGAGTATGACTTCCTTGCACTGGTCACCCCTCTCTAGCTCTCCTCCCCCAGTGCAAGGTCCTGGTCAGAAATTACTTTTGTCTGCACTTACCTAGGAATGCCCTCTGTAGTTTATAATACAGATTTCTCGGGCTTCTTGTATCTTTGTGCAAACTTTTCCCTCTCAACAAAATCTACCCCCAATTCCAACTGACAAAAGGCTTCATCTTTCAGCACTGATTTCAAGTGTTGACTTCCTTCATGAAATCTTTTTTGCATCTCCCCATAGGCTGTTCCTGCAGCCCTAAATGCTTCAGAGCTTTCCATTCTGAAGGCCAGTACCCTGCACTGCACCCTGCTCTAGATGTCTGATGCAATTTTGGTTTTGTTCTTTAAATTGAATCAACGCCACTCAGTCAAAACATGTATAAGGAACTTATAGCATGGGTTCTTAGCCTCACTGCTGACCTTTTGGGTGGTCCTGTGCTCTGTGAGTGGCTCAGTAGCATCCCTGCACCGCGCCCCCCCGCACCAGATGCTAACAGCAGCCTCTCCCCACCAAGCTGTGACAACCAAAAAGGCCTCCAGACTTTGCCAAATGTCCCCTGAAGGGTAAATCACCTCCAGTGGAGAACCAATGACTTAGTGATTATTAATATATAGTATAATTTTAAAACCTAAGGTTTAGCGATTCAGCTCCAAAGCCACATTTTACAAAGATTCATCTCTAGCAAACTGTCCCATCCAATCTGTTAATAATTATATTTGAAAGCACTGGCCAGGCATGGTGGCTCATGCCTGTAATCCCAGCACTTTGGGAGGCTCAGGCAGGTGGATCATGAGGTCAGGAGTTCGAGACCAGCCTGGCCAACATGGTGTAACTCCACCTCTACTAAAAATACAACAATTAGCTAGGCGTGATGGCAGGTGCTGGCAGTCCCAGCTACTCAGGAGGCTGAGGCAGGAGAATTGCTTGAACCTAGGAGGTGGAACTTGCAGTGAGTTGAGATCACGCCACTGCACTCCAACCTGGGCAACAGGGCGAGACTCCATCTCAAAAAAAAAGAAAAAGAAAAAGAAAAAAAAGAAAAAAAGCAATACCATAGTTTTTTCTCTTCCTTCAGCTAGTTTCCTCTTTTTATGGATGTGTTTGTTGCGGTCAATTTCTACATCACCATACACGTTCGACACATCTTCAAGAAGAACAAGTGGAACCTGGTTTGGGGCATTAGGACCTAGGGATGGGGAAAAACACCAACACTTAAAAATGCAGCAAGGAAAAGGATACTTAAGAGAGAAGCTTACTCAACTGTCATGAGAAAGTCATTAAAAATATGTTCACTGTGATCTCAATTAGGTAAACAAACAAGTAGATGCACATAGAAAAAAAAGACCATACAGATATATACCAAATTGTTAAAGACTCTCTGTCAGTGGTGGAATACAAGTGACAGCTCCTTCTTTGTATTTGTTATATATCTGCAAATTTTTTACGATGATCATGAATCATTAAAGTACCATAAAAAAATACCAAATTATACTTACATTACGGTTACAGATTCCAAACAAAATCTAAATATATGTAATATTACAAGGCATAAAAACGACAGCTGTATTATTCTGGAAGAATTATGGGTGATTCCATTCTCTTACTTCTGTTTTTCAAATTTTCTACAGTGTATTTATGCATACACTCTAGATATACAAAATGTATATTTTAAATCTTTGCCTATTGTGATGTCTTCATGAAATCTACTTAAATATGTTTTTATATCTGCTGGCTTTTTGTTTTGTTTTGTTTGAGATGGAGTCTTGCCCTGTCACCCACGCTGGAGTGCAGGGTGCAATCTCAGCTCACTGTAGCCTCTGCCTCCCAGGTTCAAGCAATTCTCCTGCCTCAGCTTCCCAAGTAGCTGGGATTATAGGTACCCACCACCATGTCTGGCTAATATTTGTATTTTTAGTAGAGATGGGGTTATATCATATTGGCTAGGCTGGTCTCAAATTCCTGACCTCAAGTGATCCGCCAGCCTTGGCCTCCCAAAGTGCTGGGATTACAGGCATAAGCCACCGTGCCCAGCCTGCTGTTACCTTCAAAATAGTGGCATCTGATCTCTGTATTTAGTTGTGCAGTACCATTACACCCTTTGATATAGAAACTTCTAATGAAACATACTTACATAGAGACTACCAGTTAAGCCAAACTAAACAAAACTAAATTGCCAACTATAAAAAGGACTGGTACCGCCCCACGGTTATTTGGATCTAACAATAGTGGATGAACACTTTCATCCTCTTCACCATCCCCGCAGTATGAACCAGTTTTTTTGGACACTCTAAAATTTGTAAACCAACCTTGGAAGAGAGATGGTTGTATGCTGTTGACATACTGGAACGCATTCTTAAAGAAGACCAACATGGTGGAATATACTACTTGGTTTTTATATTTTGCATGTGCTTCACTATCGAAGTTATTCATGTATCTGCAGAGATCCTTCATTCTATGCAAAATTTCTCCATAGCTTCTAAAAAAGAAGGAATGATGAAACTTACACGATTACTGTGGGCTGGTCAGCAAAAGGTCTAAAGAAAAGCTCTGGTGGTACCATTACATGTACCAAATGTTGCTCTAGGTATGTAAAATTATTCTTACTGTGCAACATAAATGGCAACTTTTCCCTTCTGAATTAGGGCAGTGATCAAGATTTCATGACACAAACATGCTAAGAAGCTTCTCTTTTCTCTGAAGTAGCAAGGAGAGGTTCAAACACAACATCGTCTTAAGAGTTCATATTTTAGTTAGAAATCTGTTTTTTTGTTTTCTTTTTTTGGAGACAGGATCTTACTCTGTTGTCCAGGCTGGAGTACAGTGGCATGATTTTGGCTCATCATAGCCTCTGCCTCCCAGGTTCAAGTGATTCTCTCATCTCAGCCTCCCGAGTAGTTGGGACTAAAGGCACAAACCACCACGCCCAGCTAATTTTTTTACTTTTAGTAGAGATGGGGTTTTACCATGTCGGCCAGGCTGGTCTCAAACTCCTGACCTCAAGTGATCCTTAGCCTTCCTTAGCCTCCCAAAGCACTGGGATTACAGGTATGAGCCACTGTGCCTGTCCAGAAATCTTTTGATAAAATGAAAAATGACTCTCTTTTGCATAAGTATTTAGTGTCACAAAATTTATCCAAAAAGTATAGTTATGCATTATACAGTTCTGTTTTTTCTTGTTTTGTATTTTTGAGACAGAGTCTTGCTCCATCCCCCAGGCTGAAGTGCAGTGGCACAGTCTCTGTGAACTGTAACCTCTACCTCCCAGGTTCAAGCAATTCTCCTGCCTCAGCCTCCTGAGTAGCTGGGATTACAGGTGCATGCCACCACGCCCAGCTAAGTTTTGTATTTTTAGCAGAGATGGGGTTTCACCATGTTGGTCAGGCTGGTCTCCAACTGCTGACCTCATAATCTGCCCACCTTGGCCTCCCAAAGTGCTGGGATTATAGGTGTGAGCCACCATGCCTGGCCTACACGTTTTAAAAAGCATGTTTTTGCTTTTATAAAGATCCAAAAAAAATCAATAGGTAATTCTGGAAATAAACTATTACCGTCTTCCTTTATCCATTTGCCATTCACATCTCATTCCAACAACATTCAAAATCTTAAACAACCTCTCCCAAGGGTCCACGATCTGGGATGATTTTTCCGTCAGCCCTTCTATTATGTACTTCTGAGAGGTACGTTTGCTGGGTGACATTAAATCAGATGTATCCTGGGCACCTGAGATGTAAGAAAAAAGTAGCCTACAATTAACAATCATGACTTACTGTTGACGTGGTACCTGATAAACAAAGTCTGACTCCCCATGCAAATGTAGAGAGCACAGAATTCCAACACATTTATGTTTTGCTCAAGGACCCACAACAGGCCACTGGTATAAGCAGGAAGTAATTTCCCCTCTTTCATCATGATTCATGTATACTGTTCCATGCAATAGTAGTACATCTCAGCCAGAAGACTTTTTTGATCAAGGGGTGGCATTGGTTCCAGAAAAGCTTCATTTCTTAACTAAAGTATTTTTTTCTAGACAGCAACTTTTGAAACACTCCCAAACTGGTAAGCATCCAGAGGAGAATAATCAGAACATTGAGGGGTTTCTGAATTTGCAATTTCACTATCGCCTATTTAAATAAAAGTACAGGATATTCCTACTTACCTTGATGCTGATTTTCTATTTGAGTAGACCTAGTGACATAATTGATATAAAATTCAGCTGCTTTGTTCAAGTACTTATATAATAAGTTAGCAGGCAATCGAACATCATGGTTGTTAATTATCAGAGGAAGGACATCACAAACTGTTGGAGGAGAAGAAGAATAAAATAATTAATTAGATTGTCTACCCTAGAGTTCCGACAAATACAAAAGCTTTTAAGAGTTCATTCAATGTGGTATCTAAAATATACAGGGGGAAATCCTTTATGACTCATGTATTCAAAATGAGTTGTACAGAGAGACAGGCAGTTAATTCTACAGTGGGTGACAGTCCAGCTCTTCCACTGAATTCAGGTGTTTGTTGATGACTGCGCTTCATACCTACGTATACAGTTACACATATTCTTTCAGCGGTATCAAATCTTATATAACAAAAGCTTGGAAGTTGTTTACAATGCTTGCTTTCTTTTTTTTTTTTTAAAGACAGAGTCTCGCTTTGTTGCCAGGCTGGAGTGCAGTGGTGCAATCTCAGCTCACTGCAACCTCCTCCTCCTCCCAAGTTCAAGCAATTCTCCTGCCTCAGCCTCCTGAGTAGCTGGGACTACAGGCGCCCACCACCACACCCAGCTAATTTTTGTATTTTAAGTAGAGACGGGGTTTCACCATGTTGGCCAGGTCTCCATCGCTTGACCTCGTGATCTGCCCGCCTCGGCCTCCCAAAGTGCTGGGATTACAGGCATGAGCTACTGTGCCTGGCTAAAATGCTTTCTAGATGAAACAAATAAAATAAACTAAGAACTTCTATGTCCTAACACATAGAGCTCCTTTGCCTTCCATATATGAGCTTATCCCTGAACCAACACTTACCCCAGCATATTAACTTACCACAGAAGTAACAGAGAATACAATTTTCCTTACCAAATAATTTTCTAAAGCAGTTCACAGGAGATTCTTGTTCTTCAATAGTTTCGGCCTCTAATAGTGCCTCCCCAAGGCCAACCTATTTGAAAACAAAATTAATCATTTAAATGTGTTACAGTGTAAGTTGTCAGAATCATATGAAGTAATGGGGTATTTTTTGTTTTACTTATCACAGTTTGTGTACTCAAACTTCTCTGAGAAACAAATAATCACATTTTAAAGACTAGAAAATAAAAGAATGCACTAGCAACACAGCCTAGAAGGCCAAATTCACCTGAACATCTGACCACTCAGTCTTGGTTATTCTCCTTAGAATTAGCAAAATTCTCATTAACAATTAACAGGAATTAACAAAATGTCTATAGAAATGTAAAGGAAGCACTGGAACTGGAGTTCAAATGATAATACAGATGCAGAGATTTTCTAACAAATAAACTGACTTTATTCTCTACATGAAGATGTATCAATATAGACAGAACTTATCACATTCAAGGTAAGTTCTCAGGAGTAGCCAGTCACAGTCTGGTGTGGACTAGACAGAAAGGTCTGAGTTTTGAGGCTACCTTTCCATTACTGATGCCCTAGCATAATAAATGGTTCCTCACCCAACTCCACCAAGACGTTGGTATCAAATTCCTTGCAACCACACAGGGATGCCCCGCAGTAGGAGTGGAAAAGTGTCAAAGATTGCATCACACAGAAGGTTGAAGGTCAGAGTCATGACCAGAAAGTGTGCTGGGCTGAACAGCATCCCCAAGTTCATATCCCCACAGAACCTCAGAATGTGACCTCATATACATCTAACCTTTTTTTAAAAAAATAGTGTAGATATAATTAATAAAGATGAAGTCATATTGGATTAGGGAGGCCCTCAATCCAATGACTAGTGTCCTTATAAGACAGCTATTTATGTACACTTGTAATCTCAGCTACTTGGGAGGCTGAGGCATAAGAATCGCTTGAACCCGGGAGGCAGAGGTTGCAGTGAGCTGAGATCATGCCACTGCACTCCAGCTTGGGCAACAGAGCGAGACTCTGCCTCAAAAACAAACAAACAAAACCGAAGGCCATGTAAAGATACAGAAAAAGAAGAGCACGTGATGATGGAGCAGAAATTGGAGAAGTGATGCAGCTACTGGCCAAGGAATGCCAAAGATTGCTGACAACCATCAGAAGCCAGGGAGAGCTAAAGAAAAATTCTTCCCTAGAGCCTTTAGAGAGAACGTGGCTCTGCCAACACCTGCCTTTTAGACTTCTAGCTCCCAGAATTGTGAGAATCTTTCTGTTGTGTTAAGCTACCCAGTTTGTGGTACTTTGTTATGGCAACCCTAGGAGACTAACACTAGCAAGCATGGAAATGATTAACCAGGGCCAGACACTAGAAAAATGGCATGGGAAAGAATAAGCCATAGAGTTTGCAGGAATCGAATGAATGGTTTGAATCCTGACACCTCACCAGCTATGGGAAGTTACTAAAACAATGAAATGCTCAGTTTCGTCATCTGTAAAGCAGGACACTATTTACTTCAGGGGATTTAGGAAGGTAAGAGATACCTAGCACTTACCCATGCCTGCCAATCGCACTCAATAAATATTACAGATGACGGGAAGGGGCAGGAATAGAATGAAGACAGTCTCCATAGGGCGGAAGCACAGGACAAATGCATCTATTAAAACTAAAACTGTACTCTAAATTCAAAAGCACATTGTCGAATACAACAGAAAAAGATAACTTTTTATCGTATAGATTGCAAATAAATAGTACTGACAGAGCTTGGTGATTTTCCTGATAAAACAGCTTCTCCTAGAAACTTAGAAAATTTGGTTAAAAAAAAATGTCCTTTTCACTTTAGTAACAAAGAACCTTTTATTTCAGTTCAATCTTATCCAGTGCTCTTCAGCAACTTCCGCTTTGTAGCTCCTCACCCTACCGACAAATCTGTTGATGACCCATTATATTTTATATTCAGAGAAGGGGAAGAATCAAATCTCACCCCATGCTGCACCACCGTTTCAGGGAAGCGTCTCAAAAGTAGAAGCAACATTTCTGATCGTTCTAACGTGTTGAAGCATTGTTCCGTGACCTTTAGTAACATTTCACACTGGACCCGGCCGGGAAGAGTTTCAAACAAACCTGTACAAAACATAGTTCACTTTTAAAAGTTCCATGCAGACAGAAAAGACTGCAGCCAAAGTGCTGAGTAAGGCATTTTCACGTACAGAACAGTAAACACACATGTGAAATCACTGTGGTTAAGTTTCGCCTACAACCTGGCAGGCTTTGGGGCTCAACAGTATCAAGCACAGGATGTTTGCTGAATAACGGTAACATATTTGGAGGACTGATCGAATTCAAAAAACAATGTATGTGAATGGTCACAAGAGTGCTTGTTGCAGGTTGTGATAGAGCGTGTGCTTGTTTAAGTAAATGATCTAAGCATCTACTTGCTATTTTAGCTAGAATTTGAAATCTTTGATTGGCTGCAGCAACAAACACAGAGAAGCTTAAAGAGAAAGCTTCTAAATTACTAAAAGCTTCTCACCTATTTTGTGGAGATCTGGTTAATCTATAGTGGCTATCTGGTTACTGTGAAACCTGTTAAAAATATATGCAGTTAATTCCCTGTCTCACTGATAAACCCATATCCTTGAAAGAAGCTTAAAGGGTTCTAAGGAAACAGTCAAGGAACTGAGTGACATTATTATAGACTCTGGTAGAGAAGAATATATACACATGGTTACCAATACCCCAGGTGTGACTTTTTGTGTGTGAAATTACTATATATGATTTGGTATTCCAGAAATGGTAACTGATACACCATATTTCTTACTTCTTAAAAATTGGGTTTGTTTGTCCTGTGAATCATTCCTTAAGGCTGATGTAATAATGCTGATTTCTCTCCATACCACCGGCTGGTCATGGGAAACTCACAAACCTATTTTTAAAATAAATACATTAAATTAAAATGTCAAAGGCTATACAGTATCCAAAAGAGAAAAACACTAGCATTTGGTGAAAAAGTTTCCTTTATTCCAAGGGAATGCTTAGATGTGCCAAAACAAACCAAAATAAAAATGTAAAAATAAAAATTATTTGATTTATAAAAATGAGAGTACTCAGATAAGTCTTTAGGGGGTTTTATAGGTGAAAAGACAAGTAACCGTAATATAGAAAGAACTCCTAAAAGTCAACAAGAATAAAACAAACTATTTGAAAGAAAAAACCAGCAAAGGCAAATCACAGGATACACATAGCCAAAGCGAATAGTTGAAACAATGCTGAATCTTATTAATAGTATGAGTAGTACAATCCAAAAAAAAAAAATAGCAAGAGACCATTTTCTCCTATCACAGTGGCAAGAACTACAAAGAGACTACCAAGTCGATGTTGGGAAGGGTATGGGAAAATGTACTCTTTATACAATATTAATGGAAACATAGATTGGGATCGCATATTTTAGAGACTAATTTTGTAGTGTATCAAATTTTTAAATTTGCATACCCTTTGACTATGAAAAGGTCTTAGAATCTATTCCACAGAAAAAGGACAAAATATGACTATGAAATTGTTCACACACTGAACATAATTTCAAATAATTTAAAAATATCTATTTAAATGTCTACCAAGAAAAGAGTGGCTATGAAATACTACACAGGCATGAAAAATAATGAAGTGGATCTCTACATATTGATAAGGGAAGGGGTCCATTACAGTGGATAAAGAAAGCATGCTGCAGAACAGGGGTAGTATGGTCTCATTTTGTAATCCCTTTCCCTCCAAAACCTATTTATGTTTTATGTATATACATGTAGATACACTGCCCACAAAACTTAACTCTGGTTGAGTTTAGGATGCACTTTCACTTTTTATTCTGTTACAAGTAGTGTTTGAATTTTTGCAATGAGCACATATTATTTCTAGACTAAATTATGGAATAGAAGTTTTAACAAGGATAAAACCTAAGAATAAAAACTAGACTCTTCTGCAAAAGCCAGGTCAGCAATTCACGGTAGACCTGGACTCCTTACTAGGCTTGCTTTAGGTATCAAAGATGTATAGGAACTTGAAGCTCTTCCCCCAACTCCCACTTCTGTAGACAGAAACCAAACCTCATGGAGAGATTCAGTAAAAGTGATGTCAAGCATCCCACTCACATGTCGTACAGCAGCCTCCCGGCGGTGGCGGTCCGCTCTGCATTCCGCTCGATGGTGTACATCTCATACTGCAACACACATCAAGCACGCTGGTCACTCACTCCTGCCCGGGTGGCACCCGGCTCATCCAGCATCACTCTTGGCCCCTCCCGCGGGAAGGGAGGGCCTGAAAGTGAAGCTCCACCTGGTGACACAGCGCCACATACATGGCAGCCTGGCCACTGGGCTTACAGTGTGACCCTGGGGTTCGCTTGCAATCGCTGGCTCCCAGGATTAAGTGGGATAACGTTTCCAAAGTCGCAGGCACTGAACAAACGGCTGCCATTATGATGAATGAACGAGCAAATGGCCTTTTGCTAGTGGCGATCACACGCTGTCTAGGCCAGATGGCACGCAGAGCCCCAGGGACCCAAGCAAGGCCCCCGTCTCTCAAGTGCTGGGAATAGGGCTCCAGGAAGGTGTAGGAGCAAGGCCAGTGAAAGGTGGAGGAGCAAGGTGGAGGATGGGAGAAGAGAGCGGAGGGAGTGGAAGGGGAGAAAGGAGGGGGCCGGGCAGGAGGCGGCTGCCCCAAGGCAGGCGCAGCTCTGGGCCAGGGCAGCCGGGGAGACCGGAGCAGCGCGCACCTCCCCGCAGGGCGGCCACATGCACGCCCAGGACCTCACCTGTATGTTAAAATCTGTCGGGTAGAGGCTGCGGGCCGTGATCAGCCACGCCTTGGCTGCCCACAGGTCCTGCGGCACCAACTCCCGTGCTCGTTGCACCAGGAACTCGCAGTCCCCCTGGGCCGACATGACCCGGGCGCTTTCCAGCGGCCAGCCAGAAGCGGCCGGAACGTCCGGCTCTGGACACTCAGCCTCCACCAGCGCCACCACCGCCGCCACCGCGGGGGAGACTACTGCGCATGTCTGGAGGCGCCCGGAGGCCCGCAAAGTGGATCGGGAAAAGCTTTTCCGGGCTTTGCGAGCAGCCTTCCCCCTCGGCTCCTCGAGACCGCCCGGTCCCCTCCTCTCTGAGAAGCCAAAGCGTTCGAACCGCTACCAGGTGACCTCTAAAATGCGGAGAAGTGGATTTTCATTCCTGCGGGCTGCGGCGTGACCCTGGTGAAGTCAGGGAGCATGCGCGGGACCGGGCAGGCGCTAGGCCACCGCGTCATTTCCATCCAATCTTGGTATTGCAAGGTTTTCCGGGGGCGGGGGCGGGGGCGGGGAGACGGGCGGGCCCCGGTCTGGAAGGCTGGGAAGAAGTTTGAAAGAAACTGCAGAGTGTGGGGGAGGCGGCGGGAAGCTCTATCTATTCTCCCGGGCCGTCTTGAAACACCTTCCCCGGGAGCTCCTGCCTGCGACTCACTCCCCGGCTTCGATTTACGCGGAAACTCCTGGGGCTGGTGGGGGTGCTCGTGCAAAGCCTGAGCTCCGCGGGGCCTTCTCTTTCCGAGATCCGTCCGCATTTTGTTATTTCACCTGTATTCACCGGTTTCTCCAACGAACGTTTATGGGGCAGTGAAGTCCTGGGAAAGCGCTTTGGTGGATGCCGTCCGTGGGAGGTGCGAAGATGACTAAATCCCTGACCCAGCAAGGGTTTAAAATGTTTTTAAGTGTTCTGGACGTGCAACCCACAGAAAGATAACTACGCTGTTTTCATAATTTTCTCCTCCAGCCAGAATCAGTGTTCTTTTCACCAAAACTCCAGATTTGTTTTCCATCTCAGAGATTAAAAACATCTAAGAGAATCTCCATCTGAGAGATTAAAAACATCTAAGAGAATCTCCATCTAAGAGATTCTGGTGCCGCAGCCTCCCGAGTAGCAGGGATTACAGGCATCCGCAACGAAATGCACGCCCGACTTATTTTTGTTTGTTTTTTTTTTTAGTAGAGACGGGGTTTCACCATGTTGGCCAGGCTGGTCTGGAACTCCTGATTTCAAGTGTTCCTCCTGCCTCCGCCTCCCAAAGTGCTGGGATTACAGGCATGAGCCACCACGCTGGGTTTCAAAAGCACTGTTTAATATCTCCTAATTATGCACAGAACAGCATAACTGTATGATTACTTTATAGGCCAGGATTACTCAGTGATACAATTCTTTAGTCTTTGTACCATAAAAGAAGGTAGAAAATTGGATTTAAACAGAGCAGGGTAATTTTTATGTTATAAAGTGTAGAGCATAAAAGCAGATTGCTAGCTTGAATTTTTAAAATTGTTTCACTGATGTTAACATATGAAGTATAAAAATTTTCAAATGGTTAAAACAACTGATTTGGTCATTAAACTTTCTGGTTTTGGTCTTTACCAAAAATAAAAAAGCAACTCAATGTTCCTGAGCCTAGTATTCTGTGGAATAACAATTGTAAATTAAAAATTTAAATGCAGGGGCTAAATAAGGGAATTCTGGTTTTGTTTGTTTTTGAGACAGAGTCTCGCTCTCAAATCCAGGCTGACACTGAGTGTGGTGGCCTGATCATGGATCACTGTAGCCTTGACCTCCCAGGATCAAGCCATTCTCCTGTCTCAGCCTCTGGAGTAGCTGGGACTACAGGTGTGTGCCCCCACATCTGGCTAATTTTTAATTTTTTTGTAGAGATAGTGTCTCCCTATTTTGCCCAGGCTGGTCTTGAACTCCTGGGCTTAAGTGATCCAACTGCTTGAGCCTTCCAAAGTGCTGGGATTATAGGCATGAGCCACCGCACCCAGCCTCTGTATGTATTTTTAGATGCCAACCTTGAGAGGGCCTCTAGATTTTTTTGCCAGAATACAGCATAAGGTTTGTGGTTATTTTCTAATCAGCTTCTTGATTTTGAATGGTCCCCAGCTAAAACATCTGTACAGTGTTATGCTGGCATCTCAAAGTACAGAAGGGAGGTACCACACCAAGTAAGTTTACACCTTTTGGCCTCGTTTCTGTGATCTTAACTCACTGGAGAGTCGATGAACCCAGCTCATGCTCTTCTTCGTGACAGCTTTTAAGTCACATAACATGGCCTGCATCTGGCACCCGGCTTCAGTTTCCACAAGCTCAGTTCAGGGATTTGAATTAAACTCTGCATTGTTTTTTTCCTTCCACTTCAACATCTTCAAACTCCAAGTTTCCTAACGTAACCTCTTAACTTCCCTGCCCTCGACTCTCTCTTTGGTTCTTTTCAATAATTTCCTCCTTTCTCTTCTCCGTGATTTTACCTTCATGGACCTCTATCCCCTTGACACCTACATTTTTCTCTGAGTGTGTCTTTCGACTTTTGGGCTTATTCCTCTCCACTCATGCTAAACCCTGTGCTCAGACATTCAATATGTTCATGTCTTTGCCTTCTTATCCTGCCACCATATCCACTTTATAATTTTTAATTTTTTTTGAGACAAAGTCTTATTTTCTCATCCAGACTGGAGTATAGTGGCATTATCTCCACTCATTGCAGCTTCTTCATCCTGGGTTCAAGTGATTCTTGTGCCTCAGCCTACAGAGTAGCTGAGATTACAACCACATGTCACCACACCCAGCTAATTATTGTGGTTGTGGTAGAGACACATTTTTGCCATGTTGGCCAGGCTGGTCTCAAACTCCTGGCCTCAAGCCATCCACCTGCCTCAGCATCCCAAAGTGCTGAGATTACAGGTATGAGCCACTGCCCCCAGCCCTTAAATTCCAGGTTTGAAGTCCACAGCCCTTTTTATCTTTCAAGGCTTTCAAAACTGTACATCTGATCATTTGTGTGTGTGTGTGTGTGTGTGTGTGTGTGTGTGTGTCTGTGTGTGCGTGTTTTGTTTTTGAAACAGTATCTTTCTCTGTCACTCAGGCTGGAGTGCAGTGACATGATTGTGGCTCAGTGCAGCCTCAACCTCCAGTCCCAAGCTATCCTCCCACCTTAGCCTCCCAAGTAGCTGGGACTACAGACATGTGCCACCACACCTGGCTAATTTTTAAATTTTTTGTAGAGATAGGGTCTTACAATGTTGCCTAGGCTGGTCTTGAACTCTTAGGCTCCAACAATTCTCCTGCCTAGACCTCCCAAAGTGCTGGAGTTATAGGTATGAGCCAGCACACTGGGCCCAGACTTTTTTGGGCCCAGTGTGCTGGCTCATACCTATAACCCCACTTTTTGTTTGTTTGAGAAGGAGTCTCGCATTGTCGACCCGTCTGGAGTGCAATGTTGCGATCTTGGCTCACTGTAACCTCTGCCTCCTGGGCTCAAGCGATTCTCCTGCCTCAACCTCCTGAGTAGTTGGGACTGCAGGCTTGCACCACCACACCTGGTTAAGTTTTGTATTTTTAGTAGAAATGGAGTTTCACCATGTGGACAGGCTAATCTGGAACTCCTGACCACAAGTGATCCGCTCACCTCGACCTCGAAAAGTGCAGGGATTTACAGGCATGAGCCAATGCCCCTGGCCCTTATATGTATTCTTAAAACCCTTTGACGGTTTCCAGTTGTGCTTCCATGGGGTTTGCAGCTAGCTCTCTGCCCCATCATTTGCTAGGAGCCTCCCACCCAGAAATTGTTTCAGTTCTTCAATGTAGTATGTTCTTGGTCATTTCCACATATTGATGTGTACTTTTTGCTAATATCACCTCCACCCTGCCTAGAACACTGCCCCCTGCCGGCCTTATTGGACTAATTGAGTTTCAGATAACACTTCTCAGGGAAATCTATTCTGCCTGCCCCCTCCTCTGTTCCCCAGTCCTTGTGCTGTATCATAACTGATGGTTTACCAGACAGTAAGCTCCATCAGGACATGGACCTGACCTGTCTTTTATGCTGTGACTTTCCCAGCCCCTAAAATATGCCTGACACTTATTGATAGTAGGCTAGCAGTAATATTTTGGTGTATTTTAAATGTCTTGACCCTTTGCCTACAAATTTACATAAAGCCTCTAATGTTATACAAATTTCTTTCTGTCAAGTTTCAAGGGATAAAGAGTCCCTTTTGTTCAAAGCCAAAATCCTCACCTGTGTTTCTAATCCCTTAGCCTCCCTAAAGAATCTGTTATTGGCTATCCCCACTCTATAGTTTCTGTCTGTTTCTCCTGGTACCTTCCAGTGGAGTATGTTTGTGTTGAATTACTGCTGTTTCCTGCTGGTTACAGTAGATGTTGTGTGCCCTACTCTGATCGCCTTTGCCAGGCAGTACAACCACTCACTCCGGCTGTCAGTATTGGCTGCTAACTGTTCACAACTGCTCGCTTCTGTAGAGAACAGCCCTTAGCTTCCTGGATGAGTTAGCCACTCCCAAGAGGGTGATACACAGTAAAAATATTAGTGACCCTGCCTCAAAGGGGGCAGCTATGTGACATACTTTGTGTTTCAAAGTCCTTCCTGGAGGATGGGACCAAGGCTGGATCTGTCTGAGACCACACGCATGCTCAGCGCTTTCCTCTTCTCTACTCTTCCCTGCTTTGTAGGTTTTTCTTGAAAAGCACGTTCTCAATAAATCATGTGCTTCCAGATCCCTGTCTCAGACACTTCTAGGAAGCCCAGACAAAGTTAATAGCTGTTACTGGACATGAGGTGCTTCTGTGAATCCTCTGTGTTCCAGGTATAGCCCCTCCTGTATCGCTCATGTAATAGCAATGGTTCCCCCTTAGTTAGCAGGATCAATCATCTGAACAATAAAGTAACACCTTTCAAGGATCTGATGGTGGCATTAATCTCTGCAATTCCCCTTGAGGATGCGGTGTTGCTTTTGGTTTACTATTTTGGCAACAGTGTTTCTGCTCTTCTTACATAATAGTTCTACCCTTCCTATAAAATACTTCTCATATGGTTTGGAGCTGCCCAAAATCTCATCTTGAATTGTAATCTGCA